ATTGACTCATGACGTTGATTAATCAAACAGACCCACCTTTGCATATGTAATTAATATGGTTAGGGTCAAACGCTTAGCTTCAAAAGGAAGCCTGAACAAATCCAACAATTTTGCTTAAACTGACATGCTTGACGAAAATCGCTTGTATAGTTGTATATTAGCCAACTCAAGAGTATAGATACTTCATATTTATGTGTTAGTTTTATTCAACCACCACAACAACCTTTTGATAATTCCATGACATTAATAGTCTATGAAACCGCCTTTATATAGGATATGAATGGAGTATGAACACTTCATTTGCATGAATTAACGAAAACTAATAGGTGTAACACCTCTATGGCTCCAATGGGTATAAAACTGGTATCATTCAAAAAGGAGTATATACCCTCCACACAATGTGTAGTATACATCAACATACAAATAATTTTGTACTAAAAAAACATCATTCTGAAAAAAATATTAACATAAGGAAGCAAGAAAAAGCAATACCAGCCGCAAAATCTATGTACATAGAACTGCATTAAATTGATTTTCCTTTAAAAAAGGAAATATTGCTCAATTATGAGGAATTCATAAGCAAACCAGATCAACTGTCCTGGTATCCTGCTCACAAAATGACTGCTAGTTTCTAAATCCAATAGATCTAAAGATAATGAACAATCCCAGTAACCAAAAAAATTAAAAATAAATCAAGTTCAAACCCAACCTAAAAATTTCCATAACTTCGAACTCAACAATCAGCCAAAACCCATTTCATTCTAGACCCAAACACAACCAATCGATTTGATTAACAGCCAAAAATATGCAAAATCTGAAGAGGGGTACCTTTCTTCTCTGATCTGGGTTCATCCTGAATCCTCAGCAACTGCCCAAAATCGCATCAAATCAATACCCAACACCTAAAACCTGCAGATCTCTCACTATCTTTTCCCTCAACAAGACAAAGAGTGCGGCTGGAGAACCAACAGCGGAGGCAAAGTACAAAGCAATTCCCCTTGTTACTCTCTCCTCTCTGTCTCTCTCTCTCTCCCCCCTCCCTCTTTCTTATTTTAGAGCTGAATAATTTTAGCTGTTTTTGAGGAAGAGCGCATAGGAATCTAGGCGGAAATCCCCATTATCTCCCACCCCTTTTGTTGATCCTAATCTAATCAAACCCCAATCACCATAAAAAGATTATTAGTGGAAGAGAAAGTGCAAAAGGGTCTCAAAAAGAGAAAACTTAAGAGGATAAATAAATAAATGGGCAAAATAATATAAATCTCTAATGGGTAACAAGGATTTCGAAAGAGACTTGAAAGTGAGAAAGTGTGGAGGGGA